TGAAACTGGTAACCACAATCCGAGCACACCAATCTACAAACTGACCACATTTCACACAACCAAACAACTCCAACCAGAGACGAAACCAGAAATCTCTCCAATCTCAATCTCAAGAAAACTCATCTAGAAAAACATCAAAAGAGAAGAAACATAACAATTTAGCCGACAAAACCAAGTGAATAAACCAAATACTCAATAACATTTCACAAAGCAAAGCCTCTGTTTTGGGAAAGAGAGTCATAAGCCCAAAAAAGGATTAACGTTGAAATACCCCTACGAGAGGATGTATTATTTTATCATCTCAATTATTATTGTTTTTGTAATTTATAATATTTACCTTGATTAGCTATCAATCATATACTGGTTAATGGTTACCCATTCGAATAGAAAAAAGTGAAATATATCGTTGACAAATGAATGTAAACATATGATGGTGATATAGTAATCAATGACATGTGCATCATGCATCCATTTTCCATATTATAAAATGATTTTTTATTTCTGCCGCCCATGCCGGTAAACATTAAAGTGATTTACGTTAATAGTTGAAAACTTTTATACAGGCTTGGAGTACAATTTTTATTGTTAAAGTGTAGAAATCATACATCTTATTTTGTTCAACACGAAACTCATCTATTATTTTCATTATATATCATATAATATTTATGCAAAATTGATATAAGTTATACTTTCGTGATACTTCAATACCTATCATAGTGTATTTAACGAAATGGTAGTGGTCTAGTAGTAAAAAAGTTTAGAAAAATGAGTTAAACATTTTCAACCTGAGTTTTATTTTCTGTGGAAACATTTTCATATGTATTTGGTCAGTTGAAATAATATCATATTTTAGGCCTAGTATAAAACATGATGAGTGAAGTACTCGATGGCTACACTCATTCTAGGAGATTAGTCGGATGATAAAAATCTGGATACCCCGGTTATAATAAAAAAAAAAGGACATAGTGTATTCGATTTGAGTTTTTTGGACAAATTCAGACGAGCAAAAAAGTGAGAAACACAAATAAAATATTTGAGAAAAACATTTTGTTCAAATGCCCTTAATGGTTCGATCTGATAGAAATTAGTACAATTTGGTTTGGAACTGATTGGGCAAATTCGATTATATCATTAATTTGTTTTGATACAAGTGTGTTCATGCGTGCATCCATTATCTACTACGTGTCTTCATCTTACACAGTTGTAACGAGAAAAATTCATGTATGGAGAAAAATTAATGTATGGTTCTAGCT